TACTGGGTGTTGGGGGAGCCTATGGATTAACACGAATATTTTAAATCCTACCATTTGGATTTAAAACTTTATGTTGTCATGAGGAAGCAGCTTATGGTAGTAGTTCCTGTTCTGCTGGTTACATTTCCGGAAGAGTCTACATCCTTGGATTCTACACCAAAAATTTGTACCATAGAATTTGTTGTATCGCCAGTAACGAAAAATGTAAACGAGACCTGTATAATCCTACTGCTCTGATCACGTGTAAAAAGGACAATGGTTCCTGCACTATCTACGTAAAACCCGTACAGGGTGGAGGATGTTGCCGTGTTATTTCCGTCACTAACCTAATGAATTTTGCGTTCCCTTTGTCCGCATCGGAAATATTAGAAGTTTGAAGAAATCCGGGTGGATACCCAGGTGTTTGTATAAAATCGTACTGCACATAATTTTCCCCGAGACTATTCAATTTAACAATCTCGTCCGCATTTTTGACAACCTCTGCCGTGTTTCCCTGCTGTCCCTTTTCAACTGCTGCTAATTTCTGTTTTAGGGTATCTAGTTCTTCTGCTGCTGTATCAAAGTAATCGTATCCGAATAAGATGCTCATTTTATTCAACGTCTAAATACTACAATCCTGGCCAAAAGTCCCTGGGACAACTCAAAATTTTCGCATGTTTTTATCGTTCTCTTCAGAGAAAGCAGATTTAACGCAAAATATGCTTTTGAACTGAACCCCCCTCCCCTCCCCCGTTCAATGTTGATTTTGGGATCATCCTTGACTAAAATTGTAGGAACTTTCAACATTGAATTGGAGTGGGGGAGGGGAGGGGACGAGGGCGTTGTCTTTAGAATTGAAGGGTGGAAAAGGTTGAGTGTCCCAACACTTTTGTCCAGGATTGTCTGTGTATAGGAAAACTTGTATATTGAAAATCTTTTTTTAAGATATATCACATATATCCGTAATTGGGCTTTTCACGAGACTTGTTGATGTCACAAATTGTTGGTCGTTATTCGTGTCTAAAATCCGCTGACGCGCGCCATTGCAGACGCACTAACATCGTAATGAATGATTGGTATGGTAATTAAGTGATTTGTTGTAAACGAGAGGGAAAATTTTAGATGCTTGTCTTTGAACAAAGCTTACAAAGCTTTTAATTTAATTAATCATAAAGAACAAAATTTCTTGTTAATTTCTAATGGTTTACAACGGTGAAATATCAGCTGAACAAAAGGCGCTCGCAATCTATTTTAAAGCTGGAATCTGGAACATCATACAGAGAGATAGCGCGAAAATGTTATATTTCAAAATCGGTTGCAGTAGAATATGCATGTCCGGTTGCAAGTCAAAAGCGAAGTGAAAACCTGCACAGGGTTTGGCGAAAGAGAAGCAAAGGATTGGAAATTGCCAGTAAAGGTTCTAAAGAGCTCCCTGGTCTGCCTCGTACCCAGAATCGATCAAATTAATCCACGAGGCGCACGCAAAGGCCGCGCAAGCCATAGAACAACACATAGTGCCTGGGTTGACGTGAAAGCTTTTGAAGATTTCGAAGCAGAAATGCATGTGATACCTCCACGTTCACCAGATCTAAACCCCATGAATAGAGAATATGTTCCATATTGTGAAGAATGACTTAGAGCGCCAAGCTATTTGCGAGAATATCACGGCTGAATCATTGAGCTAATTTGGAAAGAAAAAATTTTAAGCGTTAGATAATACCTCCGTCGACATTATAGATCGCTACTTCCGTCGACGTTATAGATCGCACAATAAATAGTATGTCTGGGAGCATTCATGCTGTAATTAAATCCAAGGTATTCCGAATAAAATATTGACAGCTTATGCTTAATTTTATT